GTGGTTCCTTGGTGGTCGGAGCAGAATGAAGGTGATAGGTCAGCGGCAGGGGCTTACGGCCTCTGATTGGCTAACCTGAGTTACTTCCTTTCACGGCCCTTGACAAATCAAACAGTCACGCGCTGATTGGTTGAGAGTTGTTCCTTGCTCGTGATGATTGGCCGTGACCCTGACCTCACGCTACTGACCACGCCCACTCTTGGGAATCAGGTCATCGTGTTGGACTGCCTCTGTTTGCCTTGTCACTACTGTGTGTTTAAACTTCTGAGTGGTGTGGGTTCGTTTTAAAAGCGTCTGATTGGTCTGTTATGTTTCCTTATAAAAGCGTCTGATTGGTCTGTTATGTTTTTCCTTATAAAAACGTCTGATTGGTCTGTTATGTTTCCTTATAAAAGCGTCTGATTGGTCTGTTATGTTTCCTTATAAAGCGTCTGATTGGTCTGTTATGTTTCCTTATAAAAAGCGTCTGAATTGGTCTGTTATGTTTCCTATAAAGCGTCTGATTGGTCTGTTATGTTCCTTATAAAAGCGTCGTTGGTCTGTTATGTTTCCTTGTAAGCATCTGATTAGTCTGTTATGTTTCCTTGTAAAGCGTCTACAGTTGGTCTGTTATGTTTCCTTATAAAGTGTCCCAATTGGTACTGTTATGTTTCCTTCAAAAGCGTCTGATTGATTTAGTATGTTTCCTTGTAAGCATGATTGGTCTGTTATGTTTCCTTATAAAGTGTCTGATTGGTCTGTTATCTTCCTTATTATAAAAGCGTCTGATTGGTCTGTTATGTTTCCTTATAAAGCGTCTGATTGGTCTGTTATGTTTCCTTATAAAGCGTCTGATTGGTCTGTTATGTTTCCTTATAAAGTGTCCTGATTGGTCTGTTATGTTTCCTTATAAAGTGTCTGATTGGTCTGTTATGTTTCCTTATAAAGCGTCTGATTGGTCTGTTATGTTTCATATAAAGTGTCTGATTGGTCTGTTATGTTTCCTTATAAAGTGTCTGATTGGTCTGTTATGTTTCCTTATAAAGCGTCTGATTGGTCTGTTGCTTTTCGCCTAAAAAGCGTCTGATTGGTCTGTTATGTTTCCTTATAAAGCGTCCTGATTGGTCTGTTATGTTTCCTTATAAAAGTGTCTGATTGGTCTGTTATGTTTCGCCTTATAAAAGCGTCAGATTGGTCTGTTATGTTTCATATAAAGCGTCTGAGATTGGTCTGTTATGTTTCATATAAAGCGTCTGATTGGTCTTATTTATGATGTTTCATATAAAGCGTCTGAAGTTGGTCTGTTATGTTTCCTTATAAAGTGTCCTGATTGGTCTGTTATGTTTCATATAAAGCGTCTGATTGGTCTGTTATGTTTCCTTATAAAGCGTCTGAATTGGTCTGTTATGTTTCCTTATAAAGCGTCGTTTGGTCTGTTATGTTTCCTTATAAAGCGTCTGATTGATTATTATGTTTCCTTATAAAGTGTCTGATTGGTCTGTATGTTTCCTTGTAAAGCGTCTGATTGGTCTCAGTATGTTTCATATAAAGTCTGATTGGTCTGTTATGTTTCCTTATAAAGCGTCTGATTGGTCTGTTATGTTGTTTCCTTATAAAGTGTCTGATTGGTCTGTTATGTTTCCCTATAATCTGATTGGTCTGTTATGTTTCCTTATAAAGCGTCTGATTGGTCTGTTATGTTTCCTATAAAGCGTCTGATTGGTCTGTTATGTTTCATATAAAGCGTCTGATTGGTCTGTTATGTTTCCTTATAAAGTGTGATTGGTCTGTTATGTTTCCTTATAAAGCGTCTGATTGGTCTGTTATGTGTTTCCTTGTAAGCGTCTGATTGGTCTGTTATGTTTCCTTGTAAAGCGTCTGATTGGTCTGTTATATTTCCTTATAAAAGCGTCTGATTGATGCTGTTATGTTTCCCTATAAAGCGTCTGATTGGTCTGTTATGTTTCTATAAAAGCGTCTGAAGTTAGTGCTGTTATGTTTCCTTATAAAAAAGCGTCTGATTGGTCTGTTATGTTTCCTTGCCAAGCGTCTGATTGGTCTGTTATGTTTCCTTGTAAGCATCTCTGATTGGTCTGTTATGTTTCATATAAAGCGTCTGATTGGTCTGTTATGTTTCCTTATAAAGCGTCTGATTGGTCTGTTATGTTTCCTTGTAAAAAGCGTCTGATTGGTCTGTTATGTTTCCTATAAAAGCGTCTGATTGGTCTGTTATGTTTCCTTATAAAGCGTCTGATTGGTGTTATGTTTCTTAAGCGTCTGGATTGGTCTGTTATGTTTCCTTATACAAAAAAGCGTCTGATTGGTCTGTTATGTTTCCTTGTAAAGCGTCTGATTGGTCTGTTATGTTTCCCTATAAAAGCGTCTGATTGGTCTGTTATGTTTCCTTGTAAAAGCGTCTGATTGATACCATGTTTCCTTATAAAAGCGTCTGTGATTGGTCTGTTATGTTTCCTTGTAAAGCGTCTGATTGATTATTATGTTTCCTTGTAAAGCGTCTGAT